ACACACACACACACACACACTCTATATGACCCTGTTATGGAACTATTTATTTAACAAAGACAGAAATACATGGTCCAAGAATGAAGGCACTCTGTGGAATGATCAACTGAGTTTTATTGCAACAACAGGAACACAGAGAACAACATAGAGCCATCAGACTGCCCCCCTGCTCTCTGCTCCTGTCTCTGTGCTTCTTCTCTGAGGCAGTTGAGGCCTCATATATGCTGCTTAACAAACACCATTATGTCATCTTAATAAAGCAAGATTTCATCCTAAGGAAATGCTGAGTTAAGGGAAAACCCAAAGATAAACACAAGTGATATCTAAGAATGATTGTTGTTGTTAGCAAATCTTGTTCTGACTTTAATCATTCTATCTGCTGATAAACAGCATGTCAAGAAAACCTAGGTCATTAAAGTATATCATGAATTACTGGCTTAAACCTAAAAGTATTATTTCCATTACACTCTCCCATCTGATCATTAAATGATCAATTTAAAAAAACAACCATTTTATGTATTAAAAAATTATGTCAACACAAACCTAAGTATGTGTACTTTTCTAAAATCCCAACCCCAGTATTTCAATTTTTATTCCACCCACAAAACATAATTATCACACAAAAGTTTTTGGATCATCTTGAACACAAACAGGCTTGTCTGTTTTGATATATGGAAGAGTCAGAGGTGGTGGTGGGGCTCTGCAAATTTTCTTACAGGCTGGTTTAGTGCCAGGGGCTGGAAGACGAGGGTTACGTGGATTTGGGCATAGTGTTTGTTGGATCCTAATCTCGCCAGGTTCTTCCATGTTGTTAGTAAAATCCAGGAGGGGGCATTCCACTTGCTGTCCTGTTGGGGTCTCAGAGGAAGAAGGTTTGAGGTCCTCTGGTGGAGAGAAAGTGGGGCTTGTCATTCTCCTGTTACAGTTTGTGGAAACTCCTTTTCCAGATCCTCTGTTTGTTTAGCTGGATCCAGTTGTTCTTCTGGCTCTGCAGCTTGAAATAACTCCTCTCTCTGTGGTTCTGGTTCTGCAGCAGTCTTCTTATCAGCCACTTGCACATTGTTTTCCATCAATATCTCAGTTTTCTCCTGTTGTCCTTCAGCCTCAGACGTCAGCTGATCACTCTCCTGTTGTTTGTTTCCAGCCGGAGCTTGGTTCAGGAAATACTTCATGTTTGAAACTAACAGCTCTGCTCCAGATCTATTCAATCAGTCCATCAGACTTGAACAGATGTTATCTCTCCCAAAAGAGATTAAAGTTATCCACGTATCTCACAAAGTGGTCAGCACAGGACTTTTCCAAAAAGCAATTAAGGGCAAAAAGTCTACTGAACCTCTCAGCTCCTCCTCTTGCTGTAGGAACGGGCCCACTGATCAATACATCCATGTTGAAATTTTTAACTGCAGTCAGTAACTGAATGAAATCCTTCTTCAGAATTTCTGACTGTCTGTTCATAACTTCATCACTTCCTGTATGAATGATGAGCATCTTCAGAACTGGATACTTAGCTGTGATTTCCAGAATCTTCTCYGTGAGGTCAGACACTTTATCAGCAAAACTCAGAACTTTGACTTTTTTCTTGTTCCAGAAGCCTCTGATCTCATTCACCATTTTATCTGTGATGATCAACATTTCTTCATTCTTGAAAGTCTCTCTTTGGACTTGCTTTGGCTTTGGGCTGGATCTGGTCTCAGGTCCCTCTCTGAGATCAGAAAATGAACTTTGTTCAGACTCAGTTTCTTCCAGTGGTGTGAATCTGTTTTGAAGAAACACTGCTTCATTTCTCTGGCTGTTATCAGGTGTTTTGATTCCAGCCTGTTTCTGCTTTATTCTTGCTGGAGGAGAAAAAGCATCTCTCTGTAACTCTGGCCATTCGATGTCATCTAAGAGCTGAATTCTTCCTGAGAGATTTTTTTGTCTGGCACAAAGAGAGTTCCATACAGCCTTACCCTCAGAAGCAGCTTCCATCTCCTCTCCATGTTGATCTCTCATCTCAGCCTTCTCACCCATTTTAACACATGTTGAGTTCTCCAAAGCATTCATCTCTTCCAAACGATGAAGCTTGAGCTCCAACACTGTCACCTTTTGGAGAAGCTGGCAGAAATCCTCTTTGGAAAAGTAAGGAGGCATCATGAAGCTGTTCTGTACTCACTCTCAGCGGATGATGTTTCAAAAATCTTCTCAGGTTCTTCGACAACCAAAAATAAAAATTCAGTGTTCTTTGCTTATTCAAGATCATCCATCACAATCATCACCAGCGTTTCTCTGCTGTTAAAACAATTTACCATAAAAAGGTTATTTTCATCCAGCTGGAGACACGGTCCTGAGCAGTCCTGCTCTCACTCATATCAGTTCACCTGCAATGTGGCCTTGGTCCGTCGATCTCCTAGTGGTCTCTGCGACAACGCCAAAAATTGTGGTGGCACGATTTTCCAAGAATGCAGAAACACGTTGGAATAAATGCACAGAAAGTCTGCATGTATGGTCGTCAAATGATTTAATTTGAGCAACAACAGAGCAGAAGTCAATCGGAGAAGTCTGTCAAGTTTTGGCTGCCTCATCAGCGCAGAGCAGCCGATATTATAACATCCTGTGACATGCTTACAACCAATCACAGTTCGCCAACTGTCGGCAGGATGTTATATTATCGGCTGCTCTGCGCTGATGAGGCAGCCAAAACTTGACAGACTTCTCTGATTGACTTCTGCTCTGTTGTTGCGCAAATTAAATCATTTGACGACCATACATGCAGACTTTCTGTGCATTTATTCCGTGTTTCTGCATTCTTGGTAAATCGTGCCACCACAAAGCTATTCTGTACTCACTCTCGGCAGTTGATAATTCAAAATCTTCTCAGGTTCATTAGCCAAAAATAAAATCCAATGTTCCCTACTTATTCAAGATCATCCATCATGGTTGGTGGTCACCAGCATATTTCTGTTGTTAAAAAGGTTGTTTTCATCCAGCTGGAGTTTCGGTCCTTAGCAGTCCTTGCTCACTCGTATCAGTTCACCTGCGATGTGGTCTTGGTCCGTCGATCTCCTAGTGGATCCTGTTTCGTTGACGCCAAATGTTATGGAAATATTTATTTAACAAAGACAGAAATACGTACATGGTCCAAGAATGAAGGTACTCTGTGGAATGATCAGCTGAGTTTTGTTGCAACAACAGGAACACAGAGAACAACATAGAGCCATCAGACTGTCCCCCTGCTCTCTGCTTCTGCTTCTGTTTCTCCTTCTCTGAGACTAGTTGAGGCCTCATATATACTGTTTAACAAACACTATTATGTCATCTTAATAAAGCAAGATTGCATCCTAAGGTAATGCTGAGTCAAGGGAAAACACAAAGAGAAACACAAGTGATATCTAAGAATGATTGTTGTTAGCAAATCTTGTTCTGACTTTAATCATTCTATCTGCTGATAAACAGCATGTCAAGAAAACCTAGGTCATTAAAGAATGTCATGAATTATTGGCTTAAACCTAAATGTTTTTTTTCCATTACGGACTCCTTGTTCTCAATTTAAAATGTGTTTTAGATTCTTTACATCCTGTAAAGTCTGTGCAGTTTACATGTACTATATGAATAATGTGCTGTCAAAGGCATTCAACACAGTTTATTTGTCTCAGAAAAGTAATGCATAAATGACTTAGAAACAGCAGACAACTAGAATGTTGAGTCGTGACCTTTTACTTACCCTTTTTTGCTTTGTTGTAACCACAGAGCTGTAAGTCACATCCTCACCACTTTCAACACTCCGAGCCTGTAGTTAAATAAAAGTTACAAGAAATAAGTTCATGTTCTGCTATTCTTAGGTAAAGAAAGAAGTCCCGTAATAGACTATGGAATTCCATTTTGTTACAAATGCCCAAAGCATTTGTAACAACTTTTAACTAAGAAATGGTCTACTATGGAGTTCCATAATGGAACTCCATAGTAGACTATTCATTTACCGTGAAAAATAAATCTGCTTTTTGAGCTTGTTGAATTTGCACATTTCCAATGGCGTTTTCATAGCAACCTCAGTGTTTTACCAGTTGACCTACGACCCAAAAGAGCTAGGCTCCACTAGTACATATAACTATGTAATGATCTATTACTGATACTGTATGATAAGTTTACCTTAGCTTTTCTTTTCTTGAAGGCAACATCAGAGTACGTTACCGCCTCCTCAGACTGTTAGAGAAAGATCAAACTCTGAGCGTGCAACTCTGACTGGACATCAAGGTCAAAAGGTAAGCTTGTAGTGAAGAGGGAAGCAAGTCTCTTCTTTTAAATGAAGCTTGTTTTGGAGCATTTACTATAAGTGTTCTGTTCCGTTTATTTTAGCAACACTCACCGACTTTGAGGTAGTTGAATCTGCTTTGCCATGTTCTGTTAAAAAAACAGTGGTCATCAGTGTGACAATGTAAACTAGAAAAGCCAAGTTAAATAAAATTAACCAGACACATCTGACATGAAACTTGAGTTAAACTTACTGCATTTCAGTACAAGCCAGACCACCAAGGCTACAATTAAAATCAAGATCAGCAAACTCGAGGGGATGATGAGGATTTTTAAGTCAAAACGACTGTAACACACAGAATGAGTAATGAACTTGCGTGTACAGGCATTTAAGTGACAAGTATGTCTGTAACATGTCAAAATGCAAAAAAAAAAAAAAAAAAAAAAAAGAACAGTTTAACTTAACTACACTGTGACCATTGTCTAAAAATTGCAGCATGCTAGCAAATTCTAACCTTTTTGGTTTCACACGAGTGGTGGCAGTTTTTCCAGCTATTGTGGGAGTTATGGTTGGTTCTGCTGCTAGGCAAAAACAAAAAACACGAAAAATGACAATTAAAACATAGGCAGGACAAAATGACAATATTCCCAAACACTGTAGATTGTTGTTTGTTTTGTATGCACATGCTTTATGAAAAAGTGAAACATTAGTAAAAAGCAATTCAATGTTTAAAAAAAAAAAAAAAATATATATATATATATATATATATATATAATGTTTTTGTTGATGATACTTTATAAACAACACATTTTATAGGGCCTTTAAAAAATGAAACAAACGAAAAACAGTTCTTAGCCTTTTAAATAGGTTTTAGCACAAGAAATGTTTAATTTCATTACAGTGACACAGCGGCTAATAACAAGCCCCTCCCATCAGCTGATGCAACCTAATTTGTTGAAAAGACACAAGCTGATTATTGTCCTAAAGCCTTTTAGGCTAAAACTGTATAAACAATAAATGCCTGCTTAATTTGAAGTAATACACATGAAGATACTGTATGTAATCACTTACTTGTAGGTCTTTCAGTAACACTTAGGTGTACTGGCATCTGGAAGTCTCCTTTGACACAGTAATACCAACCACTGCTCTCTGCCCTCAATTCTCTCAGAGTCACAGTGAATCTGTTGCCACTCTTGTTCAGGTTTACTTTTGTTCCATCCACAGATCCTGATCTGTCTGTCACACAGTTGCTGTTCATCTTACACCATTTCATCTCTCCAGAGGTGGTGTAGTAACAGTTGATGGTGATGTTTTCTCCAATAAATCCTGATACTGCCTGATTATCCACAGACAGAATGGGTGTATCTTTTAGGGAAAAAGCAGAAAATAAAACTGTTGGCATCCTTCACATCTCTGTATTCACACAGACTGTGCAGTGGTGCTATTTGTCTGGATCAGCTTGACAGCGAGGGACGGATCCAGGATTTGAACCCAGAACCTTTCGTAGCCAAAGCAAGAATCACACCTTCCTGTTATAACCTGACTGAGCTGCCATATAAATGGAAGACTGAACTCATCAGTGTTGAGATGTTTCGTTCTTAGACTGAAAATCTAAGAAAGATTGAACAAGCAAACACTGACCAGAAACCACAGCACTAATTAGTATTTAATCCACATCTTCACAAGTACAGCCACTTAATGTGAGTCAGGATACAAATAAGCAGATCTCACTGACAATACACAGTAACAGTGGATCACACAAACTTCTACTTGCAAAATCAAAAACTTTAAGTTGTATTTCCCTATGATCATTCTTTTTTTTTCTTTATAACATGTGTGTTTACAAAAAAGAGTCACTTACCTTGGGCAACTAGATGAAAATAATGTCTATCATCAGCACCACTATTAATCTCCACAGCACACCAGTAATCCGTGTTTTGATGTGTGAGTTGTTTTATAGTCACAGAAAAGACTGATTGATGTTTATCATCAGAGATTGAGTACTTGTTTGTATCAAGCTGTGAGTTTGTTTTAACTGCATACGAGCAGGAATTCCACAAATATCCATTACATAAATATTTCACATGATTTCTGTGTTTTTGGCTGTAAAAACAGGGAATAGTGACTGAAGCTCCAGCCTTCACTGATACTTTACTGACTGTATACATGCTGTCAATTCCTGTGAAAAGAGCACAATATCAGAGTTAATGTCAATGTAGTTTTTTGTTGTATTTGACACGTTTGTAAAGATTTTTATTAAAGATTAAATTAAACACTTGTGGATATATGCACATAAACAGCACAAATAAATGCTAAAATATTATGAACACAGTGACCAACCTGTTATCAGTGACAGAATGAGAGGAATGCTCAGAGGAACAGCCATATCCATGTGTGACCAGTTACAAGACGAAATGAGGCACTGCAGAACCGACTCTCTCCTTCCTGTTTTTACAACAGATGCTAATAGTAATTGCAAAAGTTTATTCATTTGGTAAAATACATCTCCCTGACTTGACTTTAAATTCTGCTTTGTCAGAGTTCTTCTTTACTTCTGCAAAGCCCAGTTCAACAAATCACACATTTAGTTTTCACAGAAACTCTTAAAAACTTTACTTTGACCACAATTGGTATTTTTATGACCGTAAAAGGAGAGGAAAAAAATGCAACATTTATGACACAACATTTGGAAAAAATAGAACTTCCTTTTGGTTTGAAAAAAAAAGTTTCCTCTGACCTAACATTTAAACTAACCCTTTGCAACATACAGGACGCACTGATGCTTTTATGAGCTGGAAGATGTAAACATATTTCTGTTTGCTCTCTGGTTTTGACTCGTGTCAGTTTGCTTATTAGCCAAACCACTCCACAGACGACACTCTTTCCTCTTCCCTTTGAGTCTTCAACATCTGGAGGAGAGAAACACCTTTGTGCAGCTGCTTTTTGTTGATTTTAGTATAACTTTCAACACAATAAGCTCCCAGCATCTAAAAAGCAAACTGTCATCATCCTTCATTTTCAGCACCGCTTTGTGCAACTGGATTCTAGATTTGTTTTTAACTTCTCAGTTTGTACATGTGCAGAGGAACACTTTTATAGCTGTCACCTTGAGCACCTGCTCTCCTCAGTTCTTATTCACTTTTATGATTTACTTGTTGCTGCTCCTTTGAGCATGAGTTGCCAGATTTTGCAATTCTTTAACACTGGAAGTCTTTCTTGACAAAAATTGAGTTTAAGATTACAAGAACCACAGTTACAGAGAAATAGTGAGCAACTGGTAAAGTGGCAGAAACAAAACAACTTTGTTCTGACTTTCAACATCAATAACTGCAGGAGTAACCAGCAGGTGGTGGCAGAGTGCATGAAGTTGTATGAACTGCACATAATGGATCATGATATATATTGGTTCTTTGCATTCAGATTTTCAACAAATAAAAACTTTACTGTGTAGAAATAACATCTAATATATATATATATATATATATATATA